GATGGCTCGGCACCTGTGGCTCAGGTGGCTAGGGTGCCAGCCACATACACCTAGGGTGGCGGGTTCAAATCTTGCCAGGACCCGCCAAACAACAATGATGGCTGCAACCAAAAAATAGCCTGGCATTATGGCGGGCACCTGTGGTCCCAGCTACTTGGGAGGCGGAGGCAGGAGACTCACTTGAGCCCAGGAGTTGGAGGTTGCTGTGAGCTGTGATGCCACAGCACTCTACCCAGGGGGACAGCTTGAGGCTCTGTCTCAAACAAAACAAAACAAAAAACCCCCCCAAACTACAATGAGGTATCATCTCACCCTAGTTATAATGTCTGTTTTCTTTTTTTATAAAAGATAGGCAATTGCACAGCTAAGGACCCAATAATCAAAGCAAATAGACAACTTTCAGAATTGGAAAAGATATTTGCATGTTATGAATTTGACAAAGGTTTGATAACGGGGATCTATAGAGAACTCAAATTAATCAACAAACAAGAGCAAACAATTACATCTATCACTGGGCAAGAGACATGAACAGAACCTTCTCTGAGAAAAAAAGATGAATGGCTAACAAACAGATGAAAAATCCTCATCATCCCTAATCATCAGAGAAATGCAAATCACCTTGGGATATCACCTAACCCCAGTAAGAAAAAGTCCCAAAGCTGCAGATGCTGGTGTGGCTGTGGAAAGAGGGAAACACTTTTCCATTGTTGGTGGGACTGCAAACTCATACAGCTTCTTTGGAAAGAAGTATGGAGAATCCTCAAATTAGACCCTCCATTTGATCCTTCAACCCCACTACTTGGCATGTACTCAGAAGGAAAAAAATCATTTTATCGTAAAGACATTTGCATTAGATTGTTTATCACAGCTCAATTTACAATCGCCAAGATGTGCAAACAACCTAAATGCCCATCAACTCAGGAATGGGTTAACAAAGTGTGGTATATGTATACCTCGGAATACTATTCAGCCATAAAAAGATGGTGACTTTAAATCTTATGCATTAACCTGGGTAGAATTGAAACACATTCTTCTTAGTAAAGTATCACTAGAATGGAAAAGCAAGCATCCAACGTACTCAATACTAACATGAAGCCAGTAGAAGATCTAATTCACACCTATGTAGTAGTAAAACTCAATTCAATTCAAAGAGAATTGGCAATGGGGGAAAGGGCAATGGAGGGGGGAAGAATTGTGGAAGGGGGGTTGGGGTGCTCCACTTAAGGGACACAACGTAGGCGTGTATGGCTCACTTGCTGGGTGCAGAACACGAGTACAAGAGGGACTCTACCTAACAAATTCAAATATTGTGACCTGGTTGTTTGTACCCTCATATTGACCTAAAATAGAAAAAAGCCCTATAAAATAAATTTTAAAAAATGACCCACAATAATGAATGCTGATAAGGAAGTGGATAAGGGGAATGCTTGCACACTATTGAATGGAAATGTAAATTAGTGAAACCAGAATGGAAAATGGTATAGAATGGTTTCTAACTAAACTGAAAATAGAACTACCATATGACCCAGAAATCCCCTTGCTAAGTATATATCTTTATAAAGGAAGGAAATTCAATATATTGAAAAAAGATATTTTCACTCCCATATTTATTGGAGCACTATTCACAATAGTGAAGATGTGGAATCAACCTAGTTTCCAACAATGGATAAATGGATAAAGAAAATGTGGGTCATATAGACCATGGAATAATATCCAGCTGTAAAAAGAATGATATTTTGTCATTTGAAACAACATGGGTGGAACTACAGAACATTTATGTCAAGTGAAATAAAACAAGCACAGAAAATCAAACCTCATATATGAGAGCTAAATATTTTTAAAAGTTGACTTCATGGAGACAGAGAATAGAATGATGGTTACCAGAGGCTAGGAAGGGTAGCAGGGAGGGGGTGATAAAGTGGTTAATGGGTGTAAAAATATAGTTAGATAGTTAGAATGAACGATGTTTGATTATACAACAATGTTAGGGTATACTTTGAAATAACTAAAATGTTCTTTATACAAAGAAAGATTAAAATGCCGGAGGTGATGGATTAATTCACCTTGAATGCCTGTATCGAAACATCACCTATACCCATAATAACAGACAATAAAAAATAAATACGATAAAAGAAGACAGAAGAAAGAGGAGCTAATTCTAGTCACCTAGAAGATGTACAGGAAGGTAAATCGGAGAGCCCAGTAATTCACATCGAAAGGATTAATCAAACCTTTAGGGCCTTCTTTTCAACAAGGTAGCATTTTACCCTTTCCGCTTAAGTTTATTTTCTGTATAATTTGTGACATTATATAAAGAATGAAGGAAAGTGTGGAAAAACACAAACTTCCTTTCTTTTTGGTATTCCAGACTCTGCCTAGGAGAACGTGTACAATTAATTGATTCATTATGTGCTGACTAGGTTTTGATGGGTTGATAAGCAACCTATTAAGCAGGGAGTTTGGGCGGCGCCTGTGGCTCAAAGGAGTAGGGCGCCGGCCCCATAAGCTGGAGGTGGTGGGTTCAAACCCAGCCCTAGCCAAAAACTGCATAAAAAAAAAAATCAGAGAGTTTAGTTTCTCTCCTTCAGCATTTAAAGTACCCCCCCCCACACACACCACCTCAAACCACCTATTAGTCATCAACATCATCTGCTCCTGACAGCCAACCTTCAGCATCATCACAGTGATCCGGGAGTACCTAAAGCAGGTGATTCTCCTTCTCCCATATTATCAGAAGGTCAATAGTAGCTGAACACTGTCACAATGCCTATGTCATTCCCCTCATCTCATCAGTAGGCATTTTATCATCTTACATCATCATGAGAAGGGTGAGGAGAGAACAATAAAATAGAGAGAGAGACAGAAGGACCACATTAAAATAACTTTTATTCCAGTATATCATTATAATTGTTCTATTTTATTACAGCCAGTCCTTGGGTTATGAATGAGATAGGTTCTGAAGGTTTATTCTTAAGTTGAATTTGTATGTAAGTCAGAATAGGTGCATTTGCCTGTTACCTATAATAGCCTCTGTTCATAAGAGCAAGTTGTATGTAAGTTGGATGTTTGTAACTTGGGGATTACCTGTATTAGGTCCTTTTGTTAATTTCTTACTGTTACTAATTTATAAATTAAATTTATCATAAAATGTATGGGTAGTAAAAAACAGTATATGGAGGGTGTGGTGCTATCCATGGTTTCAGGCATCCACTGAGGGTCTTGGAACATATTCCCTTGGGATAAGAGAGGACTACTGTACAAGGACGGAAGATATTCCTAGTGTATTGTTAATTCATGACTGTTCCCAGAATAAGTCACATTTTGTAGTTTTTCTCCTTAGCCCCATAAAATCGGCTTAAAAATTAAAAGTATCCAAAGCAATTTTAAAGAGAAAAAGGAGTAACCAAAAAATAAAAATATTCTTATCTGATGGGAGGTTTATGTGCCAAATAAATCCACATGAACCTCGATTCCTTTTAGAAATTATTGTTTTTCTGACTGTAAGAAGAATATTGTTTTATTTTGGAAAACATAGACAATGCATAAGTAAATAAAGAAAATAAAAATGATTATTCATAAGTGTACAAATCACAGATAACAATTGTTAACTTTTTAGAGTATTTCTATGGATCATTAGGCATGTGTATTTTCATAAAATTGGAATCCTACAATAAATACAGGTTCACATCTTTATTTTATCATTTACAAGTATAATAATAACACTGTTCTTTATTATGAAATATTATTTTAGATGAGATTTTTAAGTCTGCCATATTTCTGTTGCTAATATTGTTGGAAATTAGATTTTAATCACTTCTCATACTGTTACTGTAAGGAATAACCTTATATTTTCAGTTTTGTTTGACCCCATTAATTTTCTGAGGTTTATTTTTTAGAATAAGAATTCTAAAATTAAAGAACAGAACATTTTCAAGGCTTTTGGTAAACTTAAGCCATCTGGCATCTAAAAAGTCCATACTGATGTCTTAGGCCAGTTTTAATTCCCACTGGCAGATACTTTGTCTTCTTGTAGTTGCTGACTAAAATCAGACCCTTTGCAGATGGGTTGTACCCCCCACCCCCCACCCCGCAGCTGTTCTAGGAGAGGTAATTCTGGTAAGAATTGTCCCTAGAGCCCTCTGCACCTCTGCGTTTCTCAGGGTGTAAATGGGAAGGTTGAGCGTTCTGGTGTCTGCTGCGAACACCAGAGAGGGGAGCGGATTCCACTTGAGGGTTTATTTAGACTTGAGACACAGGTACATGAAGCTCTAACAGACAGGCTGCCCCAGGACTGTGCCAGGTGGGAGGAACTTTAGCACCACCTGCTGAGCGCATCTGGGAGCAGCAGTCATTATGAAGGCCCGGCAGGTGGGGAGGCAGGTGGGAGAGCCACCAGCACCAACGGCTCATACAGGCAGTGCTGACATCCATCAGCTCGAGTTCTCCGCACTAGCGCAGCCAGCACATAGCAGGTGCTTAGTCAATGAAAGCAAATTCCTGTCCCCTCCCTGTCATGAACGAAAGAAAATGAAGGCAACCAGTGGGAGGTATGGCGTGAAGGAAATCTATGCATTCAGTAAGCTATGGTTTGCCATATGCCGACATCCGAAACAATAATACAAGCTATTTCTTTGAGTTAAATATGTCCTTCTGAACATTCCTTACTTAAGGCACCTTTTGCAGAATAAACTAACCTCACTGTCTCTTCAGGTGGCAACTTGCCTAAGGCCATCAGCCTTTCTTCACCGCCTGTCGGAGCTTCCTGAAGGAGCAATTGCCATCCATGAGGTGAGGGGCAGGTCCTTAAAGTAAAGGAGGCTGAAGAGGCTGAAAAGACGTCGAGAGTTTTGTTCAAATTTTCAAACCTTATTAAAGCACTTCAGGAAAATGAGAGCAGATTGTGGACGTTGAGCAAATATGCCTCCCAAATAAATATCAGATGCAAAGCGTGGGAAAGTAAAGACTCCATTTGTCCTGTGGAGTTCATTGACACAACAGACGGACGCCCCAGTTTCCCTAAGGCTTCAATCGACGCCAGAGGCTGCTTTACTGATGATGGCATTCCTGAGAGCACCTTTGACGTCCTTGTTCCTAAGGGTGTAAATCAAGGGGTTCAGTAAGGGGGTGACGAAAGTGTAGACCAAGGCGATTTGGCGGTCCTCATCCTCGGAGGTGCTGGATTGGGGGCGCAGGTAGACCAGGCTGCAGCAGCCGTACTGCAGCAAGACCACCGTGAGGTGCGAGGAGCAGGTGGAGAAGGCCCGGTGGCGGCCCTCGGCCGAGCGGATGCGCAGGATGGCCAAGGTGATGAACACGTAGGAGACACAGATAAGCAGGAAGGGGACAGTCAGCACGAGGATGCCCACGACGTAGAGGACGGCCTGGTGCACGCGGATGTCAGCACAGGCCAGGCGCAGGACCGGAGGCACGTCGCAGAGGAAGTGGTTGATTTCTCGGCGGTGCCCGCAGAAGGGCAGCGTGAAGATCAAGGCGGTGAGCTGCAGGGAGAGGGAGAGCGCCAGGCCCAGGGCGCCGACCACCATCTGCACACACAGCTTCTGGGTCATGATGAGGGTGTAGTGCAGCGGGTGGCAGACGGCCACATAGCGGTCATAGGCCATGACTGCCAAGAGAAAACAGTCTGTGCTGCCAAGGGTAACAAAGAAGAACATTTGGGCCCCACATCCGGCCAGCGGAATGGGCTTCTGGGCTCCCAGAATGTTGGAAAGCATCAAGGGCACCACGACGGTGGTGTAGCAGATCTCCAGGAAAGAGAGATTGGACAGGAAGAAGTACATGGGGGTGCGGAGGGAGGTGTGTGTGCACACCACGCAGATGATGGCTGTGTTGCCACAAAGGATCAGCAAATAGAGGAGGAGGAAGAGGAGGAAGAGAAGGGCCTGGAATTCGGGGACTGTGGTGAACACGCGGAACACGAAGTCGGTGGGGCCGGAGTGGTTGAGGACAGGTGTCCAGGCAAACATGCCTTCTGCAAAAGAAGCGGAGAAAGTGCTGAGCCCTTATTTGTTGATTCACTTTACTGTTTGAGTAAAAGCAGGGATTTTAAATCTGATTTAGAATGACCCAGTCAGTATCCAGCATCCAATATTCATATTGTGAATGAGTTGACAACAGAATATATTTTTCCGTGGGAATCTTCATGAAGGGACTAGACTTTAACTGTGAATGTTCCTGGGGACAAGACATGTAGATCTTATTATCATTATTATTTTACTCTGGTATTTTTAATCCAATTGAAGAGAACTAACTTTTGCTTGCATTTAATTAAAGAATTGGTAGGGTTGTACATGTTTTAAAATCAGTTAAGTGCATGTATTGTTTACTTTCTTGGTAAACATTCTCATTGAAATATAACAGAGAAATTCACAAATCCTGAACTACAGCTTCACCTATTTCTTTTTTTTTTTTTAACATAGTCAATAATCACGACCAAGATTAAGGAATAGAACAGAAACCTACAAGTGTCCTTGTGTCTTATCAGTCTTTATCCCTCAAGAAAGTCATCACATTGATTCTGACTTTTATACTTGCAGACTAGTTTAACTGTGTTTCACTGTATAGATGAAATGACAAAGGATGTACTTTAGTGTAACCGGATTCACCATCATGTCCGCAAAGATTATTCTTGCTGTTCTTTGTAGCCATACTCCGCTTTTTCTCCCATTTCTTTACAGTATCCCATTGTATGGCTATGTTATGAGCTATTCATGAGTTGTTCACTTTGAATTCAGTTGTTTGACTCCATATAAAACTAGGCAAGTACCTTTATTTCAATTTTCTAATACATACTCTTCACGTACTTCCTTTCATTTGAATATTGTCTCTAAATTTCTAACCAGGATCCTAAACTATTGGACTCAGATGGATTTAAATGGACAAGAGCTAAATATAATAAGGTTAAAACTAAAGGGAGCTTCCTGAGATAAGAAAAGGAAATAAGGCAGCTAAAAATGCAATAGCAGAACTAGATTTGGCATCAGAAGAATGAAGAGAATAAGAAAGTTTTTTAAGCATCTGGCAAGGGGAAACTAGCTATAAGTTAAGCATTTTCAGGTTAGACTACAACTTTATTTTTAATACAAAAATTAAGGAAACAATAGAATAATATCTACAGAGTATTAAGGAAAATAGATTGTTGTGGAAGCATGCTATATTCAGTCCTTAGCGATTTATATTAAAAAGTAACAGAAAGACCTTCTCATATTTACAAGGGCTTTAGGATATATATGATTCTAACTACAATTAAAAACATCCCTCAACAAAGATTCCAGTTGCTGGGTGATTAATCAGAATACATAATTAGGGCTGGTAAAATTGTAATGTAAAATAATAGGCCTTGAAAAATCAAACTGTAAGATATGAATTTAACATTAAATAATTAATACGAATATTGCTGAGAGCAAAGAAGTATATCCAAGAATAATCCTTTCTTTCTGTTTTTTTTGAAACAGTTTGTCTGGGCTAGAGTGCCATGATGTCAGCCCAGCTCACAGCAAACTCAAACTCCTGGGCTCAAGCAATCCTCCTGCCTCAGACTCATAAGTAGCTGGGAGTATAGGCACCAACCTCCATGCCCACCTAATTTTTCTATTTTTAGTGGAGACAGGGTTTCACTCTTGCTCAGACTGGTCTCCAATTCCTGAGCTCAGGCAATCCTCTCGCCTTGTTTTCCAGAGGCTAGGATTACAGGTGTGAGCCACCGCACCCGGCCCCAAGAATAATTATTTTAAAAATATGCAATATAAAATACAAATGATGGAATTAAAAAAATGAAAAAGTAAAACACCATAAAAATCTATTTTTATTAGTATTCAAATAAATATAAAATTAAACCAAATGGTGTATAATTTTCTGTTTACAAACTGATAATGGGAAAAAATAATTCCTGGATTAAAGATGCAAAGAGAGATATATTCTAAAATATGTTACTGGAAGTATGAATTGCTATAAAAATTTGTGGAGTGTAATTAGGTAATGTAATGAAAGACTTGCAGAAATCTATATGCTTTGATTTAGCAATATTGGTTTTAAGAATTTATTCTTATAAATTAACCATGTGCATAAAATTGTTGACAGGAATGTTCATCACAGTTTTTAATATAGTGGTAAAAATTGTATCAAATTAAGTATCTATAATAGGAGATTGTTCATATTAATTGTGGTTTATTCATTTGATGGGACAGTGTGCAATAGTTTAAAATTACATTGTGCAAAAATATTTAATAAGATTGAGAAGACTCATAAAAAGCAGATTATACAATAGCATTATGACATGCTTTAATTAAAAATTTTTATCTATTTACAAAAAGTAGAACATACCTCAAAATATTAACAGTGCATATTACTAGGTGGGTGGCCTTGTGGATCTTTTTGCTTATGGCTCATGCTTTTCTGTGTTTAAAAATTTTACAATGAACATACGCAGTTTTGTAATCATACAATGAATTGAAAGTCTTCTTTATTTTCTTTGGTATTTCAATTAGTCTGAGGAAAGAAGGATACTAGTGTGTCAATCACACGGATTTTGTAGCTAGATTTGCATTTGAAAACTACTCTTCTTGCTTGCTAATTTAATTTTCACAATGAGCATATTCCTTGACGAAACTTGGTTTCCTAATGTGGAACTGAGGTTGTGAATATGGACCCTTATAGAAAATTTATGAAGGTTACAAGTTTCTAACATGTAGTATTTCTGAGACGTAATGCACCTGCCCTTCTGCCCCTTTTCTTGTAACAATGCTTTCCTTCCATAGTTACTCTTGGGTTCTTATCTTTTTCAGAGTGGAGAGTGAGCTTTCTCTAGAGCAGTCGCTCTGCTAAACCTTAAACAGTAAGATGAAGAGTGAAAGAGAATAGGAAGAAGAAAAAAAACAGATGAGAGATTTCAGGACAGGGTTGTAGTTATACAGGGTGGATATAAAGTGTGTGTACAGCTTACTGCATTAAACTATTTTAATTGCACATGAACTTTATGTACACCCTGTGTATGGGCAAAACCAAATGAAGATAGACTTTGACTCAGGAAACCTTTTAAAAGTGATTCTGTCTTATTAGACACGAACATCAATGATCAACATTGCACTTAAATAGGAACATTTCCCCCCAACTTTCCATAAACTGCAACCATAAATATCATTTCTATTAAGTTAATTGTTTCAGATTTGGGGTAAAATTTTTGTGAACATTTCTCTTTTACTGCAGTTCTCCACTAGAATTAACTGATTCTGCCATCTAAATTCAGTCATGTTGGCCACTTGCTGAAGTAGTACATCTATTGGCACAAATGGAGTATCTGACCATTTCAAGAGTGTCATCTGGCTAATGGATGAGGGATTAACTGCATCTGAAAGTTAATAAAAATCTTTCATGGGCCATTTCTTTATTTCATGTCTAAAAGTTGTCTGTGCATATATGCCACATTTTCTTTATCCCTTCATCTGTTGATGGATACTTAAGTTGATTGCAGAATGCTGCAATGAATATGGAAGTACAGATATGGGAGGTCTAACAATCAAGTTTGTGAACTTGCCCTAGCAAAAATGCTATATACCTCATTGGTGAATATCACTACAGCACCTTGGAAGTACTTCCCTTGGGAAGCTATCCACTAACACCAGTGCCTAGTCTACCTTTCAAACAAATTTTGAACCTCTTTTTCTGGAAGAGCCATCAGAGCTGTTGATATATTTCCTTTATCTTTGGGTAAAGAAAAAAGTCATTGGGGGCCAAATCAGGTGAGTAGCGAGGGTGTTCCAAAATAGTTCTTTGTTTACTGACTAAAAACTCCCTCATAAACAATGCCACATTAGCTGGTGCATTGTGAGACACTGACATACCAAGGTTATGAACCCTTACTGAGTTGTTTTTACAGTGCTGCCAACATAACCTCACAGTGGCAAGTTCATAAACTTAATTGTCAGATCTCATATCTCTCCAACATACTGACTTCATTTCTTTTGGATAATATACCCAGTAGTGGGATTACTGGATCATAACGGTTGTTTTATTTATAATTTTTTGAGAAATCTCCATACTGTTTTCCATTTGCCAGTTAAAAAATAATAAAATAGCTCTGTGCAAATAAATTTATATATTTTGGATCTGTATCATCTTATTGTATGACATGAGGCATTCAAAACTTTATCACCCAAAGTTGTTCTTAGAGGAACTCTCAACCTTTCCATCTTCTCTACCCATATGATTCACCTGACTTCCGGGTTCCTCTATTGTTTCCTTGGGGAGCTGACACTTAAAACACCCACTCCCGACAAGGCCAGTTTGATAAACATTTAAAACAGCAATATTTAGGCTACATAAGGGCAAGGATGTCTGTCTTGTTCACATCTGATTGATGTGATTTCATTTGAACTAAATCGAATTAATTCACAGTTAAATCTCATATCCTTTAAACTCCCTTTAAAAGCCAATATTCAGTGGCACCTTCTGTAACTCCATCATGAGATTTAATTATTATTGCCCTACAAAGATTGGAGCTTTTCTCAGTTCAGTGGTTAAATATTTACATTTGTTTGCTGAGTGCAGCAAGAGAGATCTTGGTGGGAGGGACTCAGTTGATAAATGGACAATAAGAAGCACAGCAGTTAAGTGATATATTTTGCTGAACTAGTAACTTTGCTGAACTAGGTAAAATCGAGAAGTTCATCTAGCTACCAGTTATCCCTCAATGGTTGATGGTCAGTCTTGTGGTGTGTAATGTACACACACTGCTAATACATAAACACTGTGCATATAAAACCGAAACACTTGAAAATGTTAGGGAGCCATGGAACCATGGAAAAGCCCAGTCATAGGTCAAATATGTGCCTATCTATGAAATACATATGAAGTAGAATCCCTACCTCTGTGAGGGAACTCAAGAGGCATTTAGTCTTACTCCCTATAACCTTCAAGCAAGAACTGAGACTCATCGAGATTAAAGCTTTGCCCTAAGGCATATGGTTAAGTTATTGTCATACCTGAAGCCAGAATCCACCTTCTATTAG